ACAGTGGTTTTTTACATTTTTAACCTGCCGGACATTAACACCGTAAAAATCCGGAAAAATTTCCATGTAAGAAAGGCGCTATGATGCTGTGGCCTAGGTTTCTCACTGCGCGGGAATTCAAATCCTATTTATTTTCAACGCCGTTTTTCGGGGATTTAGGATTTTTTTTTGAATTTTTTCGCAATAATATTAGGAAAATACATATTTTTTGAAACATTTTAGGGCAATAAAAATTTTTGGTTGGAGTCCCCCTTTAATGTTTCTTGCAATCGAAATTCATTTAGTTTGGTGATAAATAAAATTCAAGAAACTGGCACAACCAATTTATTTGAAAAGAGATCTCATAAATCCACACAACGACACTCCGCTATCCCGCTTGCAGGCTGTCATTTTATTGGCCTATTTCCTCCTATTTTCGGTGTTTCCCGTGCTAATTTCTTTCAAAACCACCACATATTTTCACTTTCCGACAGAAGAGTCTCATGTTGCCTGGGGATCATTTGTATAAAGAGCGATGGTCCGGTGGTTCAGCCCAGGTTTAACACATTTCACAGCTTTCCAACAACTTCTCTATTTAGAATCGCCCCACGACAACGCCTGTCTCCGGCCGGTATAATGTTTTGACAAGAGAACAAAAGCCGACGAAATTAGATGAGGTACTAAATAACATTTTCAATTAATATTATTCTTGTTGTAGCGCATGAGGGTTCACGAGCCGGCTCACAAAGAACGAGGAGAGATGAGCGATGACGAGTTTTGGGAGCAACGAAACGAATCGAGTGAACGAGTGGGTTTGCGTGGCGAGTTCTCCGAGGAGGACGATGATAGCGAACAGGCAGAAAGTCCATCAAGAAAAAATCGTTTCTCTTCTAGCCACAATTTATGGAACCCGTCTGACTTCATTCAGAACACATGTTTTGATAGAGTTACGGGTGAATTGTTGTCGAGACAACAATGTCTCGTAAGCATATGCTGTACAAGTACCTGAAAAAATACTGTTTCTTCCAGTTCAACATGAATCGAGCAACGAAGAAGCGCAAGAAGACGGATTTCCACGCAATTCTCAAAGCTAAGAATTGCTTAGCTCATCGTAATATTGCTTACAGCCTCTACATGGGTGACAAGCGTCTTGGGAAAAATTGTGATACTCGAAAGGATCACGTGGTAGTTGTGATAGTAAAAACAGCAATGGAACTTTCATTGCAGGCTGCTCCTCTCGTTGGATTTGATTTAGATGACGGGCGGAAAGAAGATGACGAGATTTTGCTGCCAGGTGGGAAACGAGTTATGATCTCAAATCTATCCGACGGCTTGTACCAACTGGGTTGGTTTCCTTATCGATCCGACGGCTTGTACCAACTGGGTTGGTTCCACTGCTGTTTCCAAGGCTGTTGTTTCTGTTTTGAAATTGGTGAGTTAGCATCGCTAGACAGCTTTTTGATGCTCTCGGATTTCATGGAAAAATTTAAAATGTAAGACTTCGGTTTATTCTACCATCATTTCACGTTATCGTTTCAGAGATTCTGAATTTCGCCTATCCGAACCATCAATCGAAAACTGTGGAACAATTACTGAAAATCTCTGGACCATCCGTACGCCTTCAACTGAAGCATCTAAAAAGTTGAAATCCGTATCGCCTATATTGTCTGAAGAAGGATTGCGAACGGTCGATGATAGCCAACCATCGACGTCATCAACGACTATTAGTGGAAAAAAGCGTATTCACCAAAATCATTCGGAATACGGGAGAACGCGTCGGATTATCACTAAACCAGTTCATTCGCCATCGGAAGGTCTCGCAAAGTTTACACGATCTTCAAAAAAGGGAAAACTTGAGAAATAATTACTGAACGATCTTTGTTTGATCTTTTTTGTTGTTGTTGAGTAGCCATATATGGTGTCTGTTGTTTCTTTTTTTTTCCTTCTGTTCCCCTTCTAATTTTTACCCTATTTCACGTTACTGTTGTTGCCAGTATAGGCCTGTTTAACCAATAAATTTTTATTGGTATAAGTTTCGATCTAAAGTCACAAGCTAGAATATTATGAACAACAGCTATTGAATAATGAACTGTCGAGAAGGCGCAACAATTTTAGACGGTCCGTCTGTGATGCGCAAAGCGTTGCAGACGGGCTGTCGGCGGCGAGCGATTCGACTGCCGACTGTTCGCTTTTCGGCAGTCCGCGCCCGCCAGACCCCCTCTACCTGTGACAAGTAGAGTGGAGAGTGTTTTGGTAGATATGAGGGAGAGCGGCGGCGACTGGTGGTGGTGGCGAGAGGGGAAGAGAAAAAAGCGGGAAGGAGGAAGATAGGTAACCAGTTGGAAGGCAATCTTGGAGCGGGTATATCTCGAAAACCAGAGGAGCTAGACAAAAGTGGTCAACTACAAAAATGTGAAGGAGAAGATTTTACACAAGTTTGTAGTTGAACCGGTTTTGATTGGTCGAATATGAAGCGAGATATAACTATCTGAAAGCTGCGGTAGTCAGGGCGGTGGTACAACTTCCTGTAATCATATCTCAAAAACTATGAATCCTAGAGAAAAATAGTCAACTACAAAAATAAAGATTATAAAGTTTGCAACATTTTTTGGTTTAAAGTTTTTCCATAGCTAAAAAGGCTAGTGAGATATAAAGGCTGGAAGTTGGCTAACGAAAAACCCCCAAAATTTGGGACCCATTTTCCAAAATAGAAAAATCTGAAGTGGTTTTGGTTTTTTTTTTGCATTTACGTCAGCAATCTTAGAGGAGTGACTGATGAGAAAACGCCGCAAAACTTTTCAATTACCGCCGCCTACTCAACAATTCCTTCAAATTACCAATCAATCAAGCCTAGGGAGAAGTACCTAATCTAAATGTTAATTCTGCAAAATTTGGAAAATTTGGACCCCTTGGACCCTTCGGAAATTTTATACCCTTCAAATTTGGACTTTTTAAAGAATTTGATAAATTTCAGAATTTAAAATTCTGGAAATACCAGATTCTAGAATGTTCTAGAACAGACAGGAAACAATTAGCAATTCCCGAATTTCCTGAAGACGTGGCGGAGGAGCTACAGTAATCCTCATTTCCGATGTTCACTATTTTCCATGATCCACCAAAAGCTGACATCATCCCAGACTTCCGATCTTCTGGATTTTGATGTCTAACGTCTTCTGGTGTAAGCTACACAGTTGGATAAAGACGGGGTGGGGGACCATAATTGAATTGGTGTAGCCGAGAGGGAGAATCTTCTTTTTTTCCCGCCATTCTTTGGAGAAGACAAAAGTTTTCCTTTTTTGAATGATTCTCGTTTTGGTGAACACTTTCTTGTTTGAGCCCAGTTTTAAGGCAATTAGCAATTAAAATGTACGAATGTTTCGAAATGGAATAAGGTCCCTAAAAAGAATAGGATTCGTTCTTTTTAGTATTTTAGGTTTCTGATCCTTTGCAAATTAGATTTTTAACTTTTAACGCTACAATATGGAAGAGTTAATAGAAGAATGACATGAAAAACAAATGTTCTCGAAATTTCCAAAAAAGAGTGATCTAACTTTGTGTTCTAGGCCATGTTAACATGGCGGCCTAACTTTCATAAGTTGAATTTTCTTGGCCACCAACTTTCAACCTAGAAATAACCTGATATCCACCTGGTTTGCTTTCTAGGCCATTTTAACATTATGGCCTAACTCTTTTTGCAAGTTGAGTTTTCTAGGCCACCCACTTGTATGACCTAGAAAAGGACTGATGTCCACCTTGTGAGCTTTCTGCCATTTTTACATGGTGGCCTAACTTTTGCAAGTTGGAGTTCCTAGGCCATCAAAGTGTATGACCTAGAAATGGTCTTCTATCCATCTGGTGGGTTTCTAGGCCATTTTAACATTATGGCCTAACTTTTGCAAATTGAGTTATCTAGGCCACCAACTTTTAGGGCTCTGCAATGACTGTGTGTTCTTCACCTGGTTTGAGTTCTAGGCCATTTTAACATGGCGGCCTACTTTCGCAAGTTAATTTTTTTTCTAGGCCACCACTAAATGACCCGTAAAACACACCAGGCTTTCTAGGCCATTTAATATGGTGGTCTGCAAAAGTTAGGCCACAATGCTAAAATGACCTAAGAAGCACATCAGGTGAACTCAGAAAACCACAGTAGGGTTTCCATGCGGGTAGCGATATACCCGCCCGTACCCGCAGCTACCCGTACCCGCCCGTACCCGTACCCGCTTGATACCCGGAACTTTTTGTG